ATATATATATATATATGTGTTGTATATGTGTGTGTGTGTGTATATATATATATATATATATATATATATATATATATATATATACATACATATATACATATACATATACACATATATACACACACACACACACACACACACATATATATATATATATATATATATATATATATATATATATATATATATATATATATATATGTATGTATGTTTATATATATATATATATATATATATATATATATAAACATACACACACACAAACATCACATTAAAGTAACAGTAATTATTTTACTTTGACCTTAAAGGCTGATGTTTTTACTAAAGCCATTGGTGTTATTTTCAACTTAAGTCTAAGGAGTTTGTTTTAATCAAGCAGATTATTATTTTTTTTCTGTTCTTTCTGGCAGTTTCTCATGGATGCCAAACGGAGATTTAGGACACTGGCATTGAGTGCTGCTAACAGCATGGGGATTTGGGAAGGTCGAGACGTGCACTTGTCAGATTTCATCTGTGAGCAAATGCTGCATGAATATGTGAGTGAGAAAATGTGAGTGTTTAACCATCTGCAGAATGTAGTTTAAAAAAACAAAAACATAAAAAAAAAAAAAGCAGGCTGGCCGGTCTGAGAGATGCACAGCTGCTGACATGGTCATTGCTACACACTGAGCCATTCGCTGTGCTTTCACTGGAATGCAGGATTTGTGAAAACACAGCAGTAGGAGACTATCTGTACCTTTTCTTGTGGCCTGAAAATGTTGAATGCAAAGCTATGAGATGTAACGGTGATATTGTAAATATTCCACATTCAAATAACTTTTTAATTAGAAATGCTTTAAAAATGTAATGTATTCCTCTAGATTTTGAGTTCTTGCATGATCCTTCAGAAAACATTCTAATATAATACAGAAGAGATTAGAAGCAGGTGACGTTTTTTATAGTGCTATTTTAAGTGTTTCGGGTCAATTTCAACTGGAGTGAGCAGTCATAAAAATCTTTACTTGATTTGACTGGTGTATTGGTTAATCTCGATCTGAATTGAAAAATATTTCAGATGTTTTCAGTGTCATTTTTCCTCCTTAAACTTCAGTATCCGGTAAACATATTTTAAAATCCAGTTCCACTTACTGTTAGTTAACAAAAACAGTGTCATTTGATCATTTGTAACCACGTTAAGCATGTTTTCATCCACTAGATGTCATTAGTGAGACTTCTGAACAGTATTACTGAAAGATCTCCTGCGTGTTTGAGTGACTTTGGAAAGACGTGTTTTTTATTATAATCATCATCATCATTATTATTATTATCATTATTATTATAAAAAAGCTTCAGAGGATGGCTGCATAAACAGCTTAGACTAGTCTTAAATCTACAAATGACTGTTTGCATAAAAAAATAAATGGTCTATTTTGATAGTTGAAAGATTGCTTATCCCGGTTAACTGCTACACTGTAAAATGTGTTGGGTTGCACACAATACCTTCACGTTGTCCTACCGATTAAGTTAACTGAAACGAAATGAAAATAAATCCAATTGTTATATACATGATAGTCTAATGAAGTAATAGAACTTAATTTATGCTATAAAATACATACTTTTTAAAATAAATAAGAATTGTAATTAATATTTTTAAACATTTTTAAAATAAGAAACAATCAAGAAATAAAAATATTTCTAATTGTTGGACGTTTTTGTGACAACTTATTAGTTTTTTTTGTTTAATCCACTTAAACTTGTGAACAAAAAACTAAGTTAACTTAATTCCTTCATATTGTCCTAACACAAATCAGTTGTGTGAAGCACAGCATTTGTTTTACAGTGTGCTTTAATTTCAGTTGAATTATTTATGTTGACATGAATAGTGGATGTTTATTAAAATGTACATGTACACATACAGAGTATATAAGAACACCCCTCACAAATCTCTCTTTTAAATTCATATTTTTAATAGGAAGCTATGCAATATTCATGCATAAACATTACATTAGTCAGTACTGAAGCCAAATCTGGAGCTTCTCTCACAAATGAAATAACGATAACGTTTCAAAAATTAGTAAAGCCAAATTTATACGTCATAGAAAAATATTTAATACAAATAAAAAAGAGGAAAAATCAAAAGAAGCAAAAAAAAATGTTAAACATTTATTTGAAAATTTGTAGGTTGTAACTTTAGCAATATTTTGCATGACTTTAATTGTATTATCTATTATCAACCTCAGTGTCCAACCTAAAATCAACCTCGGCTTGACACTGTGTGGATATTAACACTGACGTCTATCAGATGTTGGATTTTAGTTGCCATACCTGACGAATAAATGTCAGTATTTGACGTCAATTTGACGTTGGTTTAAGATGTTGGCCTGACGTTGGATTTTGGTCACTTTCTAACAACCTAAAATCAACCAAATATCAACATTGTTTTTTTGATAGTAAAATAATATCCTTAAAATTTGAGTCACCTGACGTCACAACCTAAATTTGACCCAATATTAACATTTTATTATGATGTGTGCCTGCTGGGCAATGAATAAATGGACTACAGAATTATTCGTTTACACACATTCACAATATAAATGCATCAGCTTTTAACTGTGTAATACTCACTACTCTTGAGTACTTTTAAAAGGGCTACTTTTCACTCATACTTTGAGTAATATTTACAACAGATACTTTTACTCTACTCGCACTGCATTTTTAGGCAAGTAATGATACTTTTACATGTGATTTTTCAGCAATCTCTCCTTACTGGTCATTAGTAATGCTGCATTGTTTTTGCAACGTGTTATGAGCTGTCAAACAGCATGTGTATATTTTTCCTGCAAATAAATCACAAATTGTGGCGTTTTGGAAAACATTTGCATCTTGAGTTTAATTGATGACGTCACCAACGACTAGTCGACTCAACTTTGATAAAAGTCAAATTCCCAAAATCTAAAGTCGTTCAACTCCTAGTTTACATAAATTTCCTCTGGGAGTTTTGGTGATAAATGGCTCGTTCTGTAGATGAGCAGATCTGTTTCTTCGTTATTGAAGCGTTCAGTTTTTTCGCTTGCAAAGTCCACCAAATGCGCTATATTTTGGGATCAGTGAGACAACTCTATCCCGCCTACAGCTAGTTCAAACTGCTGCTGCAAGGCTTTTAACCAGCACCAAAAAATTTGACCACATCACACCAGTACTGCGCTCTCTGCACTGGTTGCCTGTGCACTATCGTGTCACTTTTAAAATTCTTCTCCTGGTTTTTAAATCTCTAAATGGCTTAGCTCCTTCCTACCTGTCAGACCTGTTGACTGAACATCAGCCTGGTCGGTCTCTTCGGTCATCAAACCAGAGATTTTTATACATTCCAAAGTCAAAGCTGAAATGCAGGGGTGACCGGGCTTTCGCAGTTGAATCTAGGTTGAAAACTTACCTTTTTGATTTGGCATTTTATTAGTGAGATTTGTTTGTTTTTAGCTATAATAACTATTAGTGAGATTTGGTTGTTTTTACCTATATTAACTATGTGTGAGAATTGTTTGTTTTAGCTATAATTTTATACCTGTTCTTTGTGATTTATTGTTCAGCACATTGGTCAACCTTTGGTTGTGTTTAATAGTGCTATATAAATAAAATTGACATTGACATGTAAATAGCGAATATTCCATGGCACAATTGCAACTCATTCTTATAAAGAATGGAAGACGACTCTAATTGGTTTAATGCATGTTATAACCAAAACACACCCAAATCTCATTAAGAGAATAAGGACAATCATTTTAGACCCCTTTAGTTTTTAGAAATTCCAGAAATCCATTTATAAATTCAGTTGAAGTCAGAATTATTAGCCTCCCTGATTTATTAGCCCCGTTTATTTTTTTATCGAATTTCAGTTTAACAGAGAGAAGATTTCTTTCAACACATTTCTAAACATAATAGTTTTAATAACTCATCTCTAATCACTGATTTATTTTATCTTTGCCATGATGACAGTAAATAATATTTTACAAGATATTTTTCTAGACACTTCTATACAGCTTAAAGTGACATTTAAAGGCTTAACTAGGTTAATTAGGTTAACTAGGCATTATTGTATAAGGGTTATTGTATAAGGATGGTTTGTTCTGTAGACTATCGAAATAATTTTGTCCTTAAAATGGTGCTTAAAAAAATTAAAAACTGCTTTTATTTTAGCCGAAATAAAACAAATAAGACTTTCTTCAGAAGAAAAAATATTATCAGACATACTGTGAAAATTTCCTTGCTCTGTTAAACATCCCAAATATTTAAAAAAAGAATACAAAATTCAAAGGGGGGCTAACAATTCTGACTTCAACTGTATGTTTGGTGACTGAAATGTTATTTTAAAAAATATATCAGTTTAATAAATCTGTCAAGTTTAAAAACACCAAAAAACATAGCCTATATTCAATGAGAAATGGATAAAAATATTACTTTTCAAAATGGAGTGTACTGAAATGTGCTGCATGCCACTTTTTAAAAAAGGAAATTTTCCTAACATTGTACTAAATAAAATCTACCATCGTCTTCCACAGAATCAAGAAACCAAACCTAATCTTAAATGACCTTAAATTGACAATATTTACATTTTTCGAGTGAACATCCAAGCAACTAATAGTGTCCCGCTGTCCTCATCCTAGCTGTTAAACTACTTAATACCCTATAAGCACCAAATCAGTGTCACTCCTGATCATTTCCAGCAGTTATAAATGCATTAAAACTGCTCCCTGACATAAATGATTGCCCTCTCTCTGTGTATATATATTTCCCCCTCACTCTCTATTAATCTCCTATTCACAAATAGAGGCCAAAAGAGGCTCAGCCAGCTGGATGAGATTATCTTTTTTTTCTTCTCCTTCTGATTAGAAATGAACGTCATCTCACCCCCCTAAAACACGCAATTGTACCATCCTGTCACTAAGCCACACCCCTCTCCCTCCGCTAAGCCCCGCCCCTCCCTCCCTCCCTCATATAAGGACGACTCAAACACAGAGTGAGGCAGAAAAAGTAGAGGTCACACAGATAAGAACAGGCAGGGGAGGAAGAAAAAAACCCGCCGGCGGATCTGAGAGAGACAAATCACTGAGAAAGTCAAGGAGAAAAGCTTGTGTGTGTGTGTGTGTGTGTTTGCGTGTATGTACTGTTCAGACAGGCATAGGTAGATTCCTGGGATTTTTTTTTGAGAGTGATAGAGGACGAAAGCGCATTATGGATCCTTCGAGTCCCTCGGAGGGCCCCGTGGAACCCAAGGAAAGGAGGAAAATCCAATTTGCAGTCCCAGCGACGGAACCCACCCAGCTGGACCCGCGGCAGGTTGAGATGGTACGACTTTGACACACAAACACAGATGCATTCATGAGTCTTCTGGGTCCTGAACTAGTTTATAGTGATGAAAGTAGTTTGAGGGGACTTTAAAGAGTGATGGAGGATTGTTACTGAATTCACTGAAACTGTTAGGAATGTGCTTTTGGGATGTGTTTTAGGGGGAAAGTCAGATGGGGGAGCATAAGGTGATGAGGTTTTTGTTGTTGTTGCATTGTCATATTGTTTAGTTATACGTCTTTTTATTGTTTATTATTTTAATGAGATTATGGCTTAGTCTTTCTATTTTAAGTTTAAATGGTTAATAAAATGTAAAATAATGTTACATTTAAATATAAATACTTTTTAAATATAAGGTATTCTTAAAAAGATGGAAAATTAAGTTATTATTATTTAAGAAATAAAAAATATGAATTATTAAAAACATATTTTGGGGGGGGGGGCAGTTTTTTATTTTTATTTATGTTTTGGAAATTTTACTAAATTTAGTTTTTTTGTTATATTCTGTGAAGTCGTAAGATGAAGAGGTTTTAGTCTTGTTGTTGCATTGTCGTATTGTTTAGTTGGATGTCTTTAATATTAAAACGTCTGTTGATTTATTGTTTATTAATTATTTAAATGAGATTTAAAAAGTTAATTTAAATATTTTTTCAAACTTTTTTTAAATGAGAAATAATTAAGAAATAACAATATTAATTATTAGAAAAACTATTCCTATTGTATTTTTTATATTTTCTTTTATTTATGTTTAGGAAACATCACTAAATTTAGGTATTTTTTTGTCTATAGTCATGAAATAAAAATATGATTTATTAAAAAAATTATTGTGTTATATGTTTTTTGGACTTTGTTTTGGAAATTTTTACAAAATTTGAGTAGTTTTTTCTGTCATTTTATAAGCTTATTTCTTTAATTAGTTTTATTTTGAATGCTTTTATTACATATTAAATTAATTCAGACATTTAAATTGAAATCTTTCATTTAAATGCATTCATTCTTTTGCACTCAAAAATTTAATTTTTTTTGCTGGTTCAAACTAAAACAACTCAATTCTTAAGATTTCATTGGGACAATTTAATTTTTTTTTTTCCAAGCCACATAAAATTTTGTTAAAAGTGTTAACTTAATTAATTTGTGTTGGGACAGCATGAACTAATTGTGTGGAACCCTGCATGGGCCCTGAACTAGTTTATAGTGATGAAAGTAGTTTTAGGGGACTTTAAAGTGTAATGGAGGATTGTTACTGACATATTATTTGATTGCATGCCTTTTTATTGTTTATTTGTTATTTTAATGAGATTATTGTTCAGTGTTTTTAAGTTTAAATCTTCAACATAAAATGTAAAAGATTGTCAAATTTGAAATATAAATACAACGTTTTAAATATAATGTATGAAGTATTCCTAAAAAGAGATGAAAATAAACACAACTGTTATATGAATGATAATCTATTAAAGTAATATCACTTAATTTACTCTATAAAATGTTTATATATATTTTTAATTAAAAAAAAATATGTAAATGTATATTTTAATACTTTCTTTAACATACGAAATAATTAAGAAATAAAAGTATTAATTAGAAAAAAATATTTTTATTTTATTTTTGTATTTATTTTATTTGTGTTTTGGAAATTTGAATAAATTTAGGTAGTTATGTATTTAGTTTTTTACATTCTGTCATTGTATTAACTTGCATCTTTAATTTGTTTTATTTTTAGTACTTTTACAATATCTGAGGAATGTGCTTTTGGTTGGTTTTAGGCAAAAATTCAGATGTAAGAGCATAAGGTGATGAGGTTTTTGTTGTTGTTGCATTGCATAGTCATTGTCATACAAATGCATTCAGGAGTCTTCTGGGCCCTGAACTAGATATTATCGTGATGAAAATGGGACTTAGTTTTTGAGGACTTTGAAGTGTCAGGTTGTGTGATGGAGAATTGTTACACAATTTTTTGAGGGATGTGATTAAGGGAAAAGTCAGAAGGTTGACAACATAAGGTGATGAGTTTTTTTTTTTTTTTTTTTTTTTTTTTTGCATTGTCATATTATTTAGTTGCATGTCTTTTTATTGTTTATTTATTATTTTAATGATATTATGGTCTAGTCTTTCTATTGTAAATTTAAATATTTTTAAATTTAAAATAATGGCAAATTTTAAATAATAAATGCAACATTTTAAGTATAAAGTATTCCTAAAAAGAAATAAAAATGAACACAATTGTTATATGAATGATAATCTAATCATTTACTCTATAAAATGGCATAAAATGTTTATATGTATTTTTAATTAAATAAAAATTTGAATGTTTATATTTTTTACTTTTTAAAATGAGAAATAATTAAGAGATAAAAATATTAAATATTAGAAAAGCTTTTCTTATTGTATTTAATTATCAATCAATTAAAGTTTTGGACATTTTACTAAATTTAGGTACTTTTTTATATTCTGTCATTTTATTAGCTTATGTCTTAAATTTGTTTTAGTCTTAGTACTTTTATTACATCTTACATTTAATTCAGATGTTTACATTTTTCTTTTTATATATTTTATTTCAACTTTATTTTAAGCATCAAAAACATTTAATTTTTTTAAAATTAAAATACTTGACCATTGACACGTAAATCTCTAAGTAATACTAATAATAATAATAATGTAAAAACAAAAACCAGATTCAGATGATGAGCTTATAAGCAAAAATATTCATATTTCTCATTAAAATAATGTCCAAATATAACCCTTAATTTTAATGGTCTGAAAAGCAGGCTCTGTTTTCTTCATGATGAATACTATTTCTCCATTTTTCTTTTAATTGTGGGGTCAGATGTGACCTGGAGATATGTTTGCCCTGCACACTCACTGAGCACGCTCATAAAATCCAAAGTTTTAAGGCTATAAATCTGTCCTGGAAATGGTAAACGGTGTGTGACCTGGAAAGGGCTGAGTTGATGTTCTGGATACAGGACGTGGTTTTATAGCCTGACCATACACTGCGTTCATGTGCCTGTTTCGAAGTCCGCTATTGATTTTGGCCTTCGGTTGCTTTGCACATATATTTTTGAGATAAAGTGGTGCGTTTGTCTCTTTTCTGGATCTCTGAGAGTGCAGATGCAGTGTGTGTGTGTTGTTCTGGACCAGTTCCCCGTCCTGTTGGTGTTGTAATTTTAGTCTTAACAAAGTGGGTCGGAGAGCTGTTCTGTACTGCGCTGCTGCTGCTGCTGCAGAGACAGACCAGAATCATCCTCAGGAGACACCAGTTAAAAAGGTGAGCGCAAGAGAAAGGCCAATGCTCCAAAAACTCCCCATATAAACAGTTATGAATATGTTTAGAGTGATCATTAAGATCCAGGCATCATTAAGTAAGCCTTGTGTTGCGTGGAAAGCATTGACTTGTCTTTTGTGGATCACAAATTGAGAAGTTTTAAAAAATGTCCTGGGTTCTGATTTATTAAATTTGCGTAAAAGTGAACGTGCGTCAGAATAAATCTTCATTCATCTATTAATGATTATAGCTCATATTATGACTTAAAATGGTTCAATTAAGTCAATAATTAAGTTAAATACACTGTTAAAAAAAAATCTGCAATTTTACAGTAAAAAAACGTGAAATATCGGCTGTTAAATTACAGAAATTTCTTTAAATTGAACTTTCTGGTAAATTTCTGTAATTCAACCTGCTATTTTACAGTAAACTTCTGTAATTTAACAGCCATTTTTTTTAACGTTTTTTTTTTCGTCACCCCAGCTGTTAAATAAACCGTAAAATTGCGGATTGTTCTTTACAGTATATGTTTATGTATATGTATATGTTTAAGTTTGTTTTTTGTAGATGACAAATTTTAATTGGGACATGGTGTACGCACATTTCCGCCTCTGTTTTGTGTGTATGCCATGTTTATAAATGAGACCCCTGGTCACTTCAGTCTCAGGCTATCAAACACTGTAATTTGGCGTGAAGTGCAGTGCAAGTGTTTTTTTGCTGTTCTAAAATGGTGTGTTATTTTTATAGATTTTTTAAATGTTTTTTTTTTTTTTTTTTTTTTTAAAGATTTTTAAAATGTTTGCCTCTATTACATAGGACAGTATTTAGACATTAAGTGAAGTTGGAGAGAGAGAGAGAGAGGGGGGTATGGTAAGGAAATGTCCTCGAGCTGGGATTCGATCTCGGGACGCCCTGATGTGCTACTGCTTCATATGTCGACGCACTAACATATCATAATTCAACTTAATAATAATATTTTATTATATAATATTTTTTCCCGCGCCTCCCCTGACATGCTCTGGCGCCCTCCAGGGGAGGCACGCCTCACACTTTGAAAACCCCTGCTGTAATACATTACTTTCATAGACTGTAAAATATATGGACGTGGTATCCGTGACGTCACCCATAGGTTTCTAAAGAGCGCAAAAGAAGCCACAAGTAGGCGCGGCCAACCGTCGCCATTTTGTTCGCGCGTCATCACACCCATGGCGGGATACCAAACAAGGGCAAAGAGGCGGAGAGTGAGCGGAGCTACAGACACCTGCTAGCATTTAGCTTGGACCTGGTTCAGACACACTTTACTTTGGGAGAACGCTTAATACTTCATCACCTGTGACTCGTTTGTATTCCGACCACTTGTGCTTGGTTGTACACTATATCAATAAAGTGTTTTGAGCCATTAAACATTGTTCTTATGACGTTTTTCAACAGGAGGAAAACGCGAATTACTTCCAAACACTTCAGATACAGTCTGAGTTAGTTAATGTAAGACTATTGATGAACTCCAGCATAACACTGTATGACAACGCTTCAGATGACTGTTCTAGAGCCTACAGCTAATCAATCTGTCAGATTCTGAAGTGCATTACAGCTCTAAATATAAATTTAAACGATAAATAATCTTAAATAAAACAAATACATGTATAGAGATGGTATATAAGTATATAACTTTACTCGCATGGGAAACAGAGGCCACGTGAATGGTTTGTGAGCACAATTAAGTGCACTCAGCATACCA